GGGGCCTGTTGTGGGGTGGGGAGGCGGGGAGGGATGGCATTAGGAGATATACCTAATGTAAATGATGAGTAATGGGTGCAGCACACCACATGGCACATGTCTACCGGTGTAACCAACCTGCACATTGTGCACCTGTACCCTAGAACTTAGTATAATAAATAAATAAGATTTTTCCTTTGCCTTTAACTTTGATCGTATACATCCAAAAGTCACTTTTTATTCTGTTCCAATTCCTGGGGAAAGGATTTGTTTATAAAGATACAAATAGTAAATAATTAAGGTTTTTAAAAGATGAATTCTGTCACAAACCTGAATGACTGTTGCCTCTGTGCTAGCCTTTTTGGAGTAAACCTGCAATTTTTTTTCCTTTGGTAGGCTCTTGCAGCCAATGCTGGAACAGGATTTGCTGTTGCTGAACCTCAAATCGCAATGTTTTGTGGGCAGTTAAATATGCATGTGAACATTCAGACTGGCAAGTGGGAACCTGATCCAACAGGCACCAAGGGCTGCTTCGAAACAAAGGAAGAAGTTCTTCAGTACTGTCAGGAGGTAAGGGTGTTGCCGGCAAGTTAAAACCATTTTTCTGGGGCAGGGTTGAATCTGTTTACCTTAGAAATAGGTATTGTCATTCTCTTTTGACCTAAGACAAAGATGCTAATAACTGGAGCCCCAAGCCTTTTGTTTCTAAATGTGTGGTATGACCCAGACCTCTCGAAGGCTTTGCCTGCCTGTTCTGTGAGCTCTCAGTTGTTTAAGGAAGGGATGCTGCAGAAACCTGGCAAGTACCATGGAAGTGCAGCGTGGTTCTTGTCCTCCCACTTGTCTTGGAAGATGGAAAACAAAACATGTCAGGTGTATGCTTGTCTTTTCTACTTACCGATAGAAAGCCACCAGTATTCTAAATGATCATCTCAGGTCTGATTCAACTTTGGGTTAAAGAGAAAATGATATGAGATGTCACAACTTTTATTTATTTTTTCTGATAGAGACAGGGTCTTGCTACATTGACCAGGGTACTCTCAAACTCCTGGCCTCAAGCAATCCTCCCCGGCCTCCCAAAGTGCTGGGATTATAGCATGAGCCACCACTTCTTACCAAGATGAGCACACAGGGCCAGGGTGAAGTTCTGTAATTTCATTGACAGACGTTTCCATAGACTCGCCTCATGGACTCATCAACTCAACACCTGCTCTACAAGCAAACCTGAGAGCTCATGAATTTGTTTTGGGCTAAAAGCTTGCTGCTTTTGTTTGTCCTTAAATATATATTCTTTTTGAAAAGAGAAGGCATGGAAGTTTTCAGAGGTCTGAACTGTCAGAACGAATACAGTATCTTTTTATTTGATGACTTCAGTTGGAGCCGGGGTAATGGACTGGAACTTTAGATGTATTATAGGATAAGGGTGGAGGCTGAGTAAACTTAGATACTCCATCCTTACTTGCGTGTGCGTGTCTATCTGCAGACTGATTTATTGTGTGTGTTTTTGTTTTCTTAACAGATGTATCCAGAGCTACAGATCACAAATGTGATGGAGGCAAACCAGCGGGTCACTATTGACAATTGGTGCCGGAGGGACAAAAAGCAATGCAAGAGTCACACTGTTACACCTTTCAAGTGTCTTGGTGAGTGTTCTTGGTTACTTTTCAGGAAGTGCCAGCCCCCTCCCATTTTAAATTTAATTTTCTCTTGGCTCACAGTGAAATATTTACACCTGTTAAGAAGCTGAGTGCGGCATGAATTTATCGGGGAGAATTTCTCTTAGGGGTGTTTACTGGCTTCGAGTGTCGGTGGTTGACCTCCTCTCAGTGATGACTAACTGCCTTCCCATTGTAGACATCTTTCGTCGGCACTGAATAAGGGTGCTACCCACAGAGCAATCGCACTTATGCGCTCACATTGTTAGATATCAGTGGTTTACGGTGATAGTGGGGAGTAGTGTTAAAGAAAGCAGCCCCAGGAGAAGAGTCTTCTGTTTCCCTTACTTCATCCCACACACGTTTGCACCATTTGACCAAACTGCTGGTAGTTTTCAGGAGAAAGAAAAGTGACTTATAGCAGCAGCCTGTGGACAGTCAAGGGTACCAGGGCCAGTGCTTATAGGACCTGCCGTTCTGAGGGGTTTGGGGCTGGTAAGGGTGTTCATGACTGTGTTGCTGGTGTCAACAGTCAGAGCCAATTTGAGTAAAATGGTAACAGTTTGCTGTGCAGAAACAGAGTTGTTGCTTCAAATGCTCAGGGAATATATTCATTTTAACCATTTATGCCTGATACGTTGGAATTACACTCACCTATCTGTGGTCTGGGTGATTCAGGAACAGATTTGGTCACAGAAACTTCAAAAGGCAAAAACAGTCAATTTTAGATTAGCCCTGATGGGATTAAAGTAGATACAGCATTAATATAGACATCGTGAGTGATTCTGTAGCTATATGTAATTGGAACTATTAACTTTTTCTCCTTCCTCCCTTCCTTCTTTAAAACCTTTCCTTCAACTGCTGACGGCAGCAAAGTGGAATGTGATACTTTTTCTCATTCTCACATGTAGCAAGGGGCAATAGCCAAGCAACAGGAAGAGGCAGCACCCCTGAACAACAGTGTTTAAAGTGTGTGGCAATTAAGTTTGTTTTAAAAGTATTCGTAAGGAGAAAGAGGGACATCATGTGTGCTTACCACTGTTTACTTTAAAACTGGGCATCTCAAGATTGGGGACTTGTTAAAAACTTGGTGTGATGTGGTTTAAGGATGCTTTCTATTCTGTTTGGCTCTGAGAAATCTCTGGGTATGAGGTTTCATTCATTCATTAAAAACATTCTCAAACTAAAAGTGAAATGAGATTATCCTGGAATATTTGTAGACAGTGGATAGGAAGTGCTTGAAATCATTGCTTCTGATTGCTCCCCCCGAAAGACTTTGCAGCATGATTATCTCCTCTTGTTTGTCCTTGTCACCTTCCAGCTTCACTCCCCACCCAGACATCTGAGTGGGACCTGGGAGACTCTTTTATTCTTCTGTTATCCTTTATCTCCCTGTATCCAGTCAGTTTCTGAGCCAGCCTGATACTTACCTCTTAAATAGACTTACAGTCATGATTTTCAAACTGTGTGCCAAGTCTCCTTGGGGCATTGCAGCAAAACTCACAGGGCATTCTGGGATATTTTTGATTTTTCAAGGGAAATGTAGTGACATCTGTCAGGCATTCTGCAAACTACTAGCTGGAAGTAATTTACAGTTTCAACGTGAGAGCATTTATTTTGATGATTTCATATCTCTGTGAAACTGTGTTTTTAGTTATTCCTGTGATAAAAAGCAAGTATCTTTTGAAAATCACTGAAAAAAAAAATGAGGGTGATGGTGTTCGGTCTGATTGCAGTTGGGGGAGGTGTGCAGGGCCCAGTGCGCGCTAAGGTGATAGGACGTAGTATGTATTAAGTTGTTGGCTCTAACTACTTAACTTTTAGGTATTTTTTTGCCCAGGAGTCCTGTGAAAAAATTCCTAAGACACTCAGGGTGCTATGAGTCAAAAATGTGGTCATCTCTGGCTTGTGTCCTCTTCCTGCATCAGATTCCCACTGCCCTAGCTCAGCCTGTGGTCAGTTCTTGTCTGGGCCAAGAGCAGCCTCCATGCTGTTTCTCAGTGCTGGTCGTCCAATCTGTTGCCTGCTGATTGAAAATAAAGACCGAATCATGTCTCTCATGCACAAATTCTTGAATGTTGAAACTCGTTAGCATGGCTTCAAAACTCCAGGATCTGGCCCTTGCTCAACTCTCCCCTGGTCTCTGTGATCTCATGCTTTAGACTTTATCAGCATTGACCACCCCAGGGTGCTGGGTCACGCACCGTCCAGCTTTCAGCATTTGGAATGGCTTTCCTCTGCTGACTTTGCTTGGGAAGCTCTTCCTGCACAGCTTACCTCAGCAGTTGCCTGCTTTAAAGGGAGGCTTTCCTGGTCTTATTTTCTATCCATTCATCCAGGTTTCTGTAATACTCCGTGCTGTTGCCATTGCACTTATCACACTGTACCATGATTGTTCATAGACCTTTCTCCAACTATGCTGTGAACACTTTGCCAGCAGCGACCCTGTTTTAGTCTTTTTTGTCCCCTCAGCACCATGGTAGTGCCTAGAATATAGGATATACTGTTTACGATAATTATAACACAAGAATGCTACTATAGTTGGTACACAACCAAAATTTTATTTTATTGCTTTGTTTCCCAAACGATATAGTTTAAATTTGTTAGCATGTTACAGAACCAGACAATAATGTTGTTAATGAAATGCAGAAAAGACAGTTTAACCATAATCCATTTGGTACCTTCTTTGCATTGTGGTCACTGAATAAAGCGTTATACAATCTTTGGTGTTACTTCAGACAGTTATTCATGTTTACCCCAGCATCCATTTGGACAACTTCTTAACCAATCGGTAGAGACATCCGTTGGTATTTTTACATAAGCACAGTTGCCTGAGCCTAAACTAATGAGGGACAACATGACTGGAGTTTAAGGGAGGGAGTGGGAAAGACATATTGCAGTTCTCCATTGTCAGTTAGATTTTGATGTCTCCCTGTCCCTTCCACTATCACCTCCCCTTTGAGCACCCAGGCAGAACTGATATCATTTAGTTAATAATGGCCACCACCTTTTTCCCCCATAGACTCCTTAGAAAGCCTTTTGATGATAGTCTTCTAGAGTTGCTATTACTTTTTTAAATTAAAAAATAATAGTTTAAAAATAATTTCAAATTTACAGAATGGTTACAAAAACGGCACAGAGTTCCTCTGTGTACCCTTCACCCAGATTTCAGATTTTCCAACTGTTAACATTTGATTAATGTGGTAAAAAATCTTATCCTCCCTTCCCACCACCCCTCACACACATACTTGAGATTTGTTGTTTTTTGAATCATTTGGCAATAAGGCAAACATGATATATTTATGCCTTAATACCACAGTGTGTATTTTTTAAAAACAAGGAAATTATCCTACGTAACCATGGTATAGTCATCAAAAATCAAGATCTTATAGACAATATCTAGTTGATCCAATATCTAATCTACAGACCCTACTCAGGTTTCACCTGTTGTTCTAATAACATCCAGGACCTAATCTAAGATTCCATGTTGCATATTTCCTTTCCTTTGTGACATTGATTTTTTTTTTTTTTTAACTACAGGCCAATTCCTTTATAGAAAAGTTTTCAATTAGCAATATTCACGCCTTGGATAAACCTCATTGGCTACAATACTGCCACTGCACAAAGCTCAGTTCCTTTATAGAATGCCTTGCAATTTGTGTTTTTCTGTGATCCTTTTGATGTATTCATTTTTGAGGGGAGTATCACAGAAGTGTTCTCACTGCATCACAGTAGGAGTTGTGCGATACCAGTTTGTTTCATCACCTGGCTAAGATGGTGTCTACATTCATTTACTTTATTTGATACTCATTGTCTGCATTTGGCCAGTGGGGGCCCCTTTATGCTAGTTCCTGTGTCCTTTTAACATGTCCCTATCATTCTTTGAGAACTTTACTTTCTGATACAAAAGATTCTCCAAGTCCGTTCTGTATTTTCCCTACTCCACTCCTGGAGTTTGCTTTAAGACACCGTGGTTTCTTTTAGTGGGGAACGCTATTTTGAAATCCAGATCTGGGCCTTAGATGATTTGTTTTTTGTTTTTGGTAATTTTTGGACACAGATTTGGACAGGTAGTGTTATTGTGATATGAAAACTACGAAAGTTCTGATGTAATATCTACTTTGAAAACAAAACTGGTCTCAGCAGCTTTGAGGTGCTGCCTTCTGCGTTTGTACCTCGGTCTGTTGGCGTAGTTCACTTGTCCATTGCAGGTGGTCCTTTTACAAATCTTCTAGCCCTTGAGTTCATGACAGCCATCGACAGTTGACCCTGTTCCTGGTGTGGACCCTTGTGCAAGGTGAGTGTTCCACTCGTGTGAAGTAGCATGGATCCTTCACTTCTCTGAACCCTGTTTTCCCTGAAACATACCTCGAGTGACCACCTGGCCTCGTTACATAGGCTGTTTTCTCCCACCTGGGTACAGCTTTTACCAGCTCCCTAAATTACATGGTTTTCCTGTTTGCACCTAGCATGTGCTTTTGTAGTAAATTTATTATTTAATTTTTGTAATTTTTAATTATTTTGGGTACACAGTAGGTGTCTGTATTTATGGAGTACATGAGATATTTTGATACAGGCATATAGTGTGTAATAGTCATGTCAGGGTATGTAGTAGATGTACTTATACGCATGGGTGTTGGTGTTGGAGGTTTCCTCAAGTAGGTAAACAGCCTTTGTTATTTATTCTGAAAGGAATTTCAGCAACTCTGAAAAAGCTCTAAAACCTGGATCGCTGCCACAGCACTGCTGGAAAGAAGTAGTAGGAAAGAAAAGCTGAATCACAGGGATGATTAGAAATTGGAGATAAATCCTAACTGCAGCTTAAATGAATATTGTATAGGTTAGGTTTTGCTATGTTGCCATATTCATTGATCAGCAAAAACAATAGAGCTTTATGTTTGCCAGTGACTTAGGAAATTGTGGCAATTGTATTATACTTCACTGATTAAATTGAGGATGTTACCAGATTGGATATAAACTATTGAAGT